AACCCATGGCCCAGTCATTGCCTGAATGGATTATAATGTTTATCTGCAGTTTCTGCTCTTCAGAAGTTTCACCATTTTCTTGCCTCAGCCACAAACTTTGGCTCTTAGACTTTCAAATGTTCTCTCTCTATATATATATATGGTCAAGAAAGACTGTGTACTTTCTGAAATAAAACAATTTTATTGGAGAAATGTAAAATAATTCCTTTGACAAGTGTTCTCTCTCTAGCTTATCCAACTAATCAACCAATAACTATTTATAGTGGGCCTAATGATCACAAGACACCCTACTAGCAATAAGTGTGTACCAAAAAACACAAGTCAGAATCTCTGAAATCAAGTAGCCTGTTAATATAGTGACATATGTATGCACAATAGTTTCTAAAAAGTCTATTTTAAAGGGTGTCCAAAAAGTATTTTAAATGGACAATAAAATAAGAATTCAGAATTATTTTTTTTTTCCTGTGATTCCTTTATTTTTTTTTAATTTTTTTTATTGGTTGTTCAAAACATTATAAAGCTCTTGACATATCATATTTCATACATTAGATTCAAGTTGGTTATGAACTCCCAATTTTACCCCAAATACAGATTGCAGAATCACATCGGTTACACATCCACATTTTTACATAATGCCCTATTAGTAACTGTTGTATTCTGCTACCTTTCCTAACCTCTACCATCCCCCCTCCCTCCCCTCCCATCTTCTCTCTCTACCCCATCCACTGTAATTCATATCTCTCCTTGTTTATTTTCCCATTCCCCTCACAACCTCTTATATGTAATTTTGTATAACAATGAGGGTCTCCCTCCATTACCATGCAATTTCCCTTTTCTCTCCCTTTCCATCCCACCTCATGTATCTGTTTAATGTTAATCTTTTCTTCCTGCTCTTCCTCCCTGCTCTGTTCTTAGTTGCTCTCATTATATCAAAGAAGACATTTGGTATTTGTTTTTTAGGGATTGGCTAGCTTCACTAAGCATAATCTGCTCTAGTGCCATCCATTTCCCTGCAAATTCTATGATTTTGTCATTTTTTAGTGCTGCGTAATACTCCATGGTGTATAAATGCCACATTTTTTTTATCCATTCATCTATTGAAGGGCATCTGGGTTGGTTCCACAGTCTAGCAATTGTGAATTGTGCTGCTATGAACATCGATGTAGCAGTATCCCTGTAGTACGCTCTTTTAAGGTCTTCAGGGAAAAGTCCAAGAAGGGCAATAGCTGGGTCAAATGGTGGCTCCATTCCCAGCTTTCCCAGGAGTCTCCATACTGTTTTCCAGATTGGCCGCACCAGTTTGCAGTCCCACCAGCAATGTACAAGAGTACCCTTTTCCCCACATCCTCTCCAGCACTTGTTGTTGTTTGACTTCATAATGGCTGCCAATCTTACTGGAGTGAGATGGTATCTTAGGGTGGTTTTGATTTGCATTTCTCTGACTGCTAGAGATGGTGAGCATTTTTTCATGTACTTGTTGATTGATTGTATGTCCTCCTCTGAGAAGTGTCTGTTCAGGTCTTTGGCCCATTTGTTGATTGGGTTATTTGTTTTCTTATTGTTTAATTTTTTGAGTTCTTTGTATACTCTGGATATTAGGGCTCTATCTGAAGTGTGAGGAGTAAAAATTTGTTCCCATGATGTAGGCTCCCTATTTACCTCTTTTATTGTTTCTCTTGCTGAGAGAAAACTTTTCAGTTTAAGTAAGTCCCATTTGTTGATTTTTGTTATCAACTTTTGTGCTATGGGTGTCCTATTAAGGAATTTGGAGCCCGACCCTACAATATGTAGATCGGAGCCAACTTTTTCTTCTATCAGACGCAGAGATGCAAAAATCCTCAATAAAATTCTGGCGAATCGGATACAAAGGCACATCAAAAAAATTGTGCACCATGATCAAGTAGGATTCATCCCTGGGATGCAAGGATGGTTCAATATACGGAAATCAATAAATGTTATTCACCACATCAATAGACTTAAAAATAAGAACCATATGATCATCTCAATAGACGCAGAAAAAGCATTCGACAAAGTACAGCATCCCTTTATGTTCAAAACATTAGAAAAATTAGGGATAACAGGAACTTACCTCGACATTGTAAAAGCTATCTATGCTAAGCCTCAGGCTAGCATCATTCTCAATGGAGAAAAATTGAAGGCATTCCCCCTAAAATCTGGAACAAGACAGGGATGCCCTCTATCACCACTTCTATTCAATATAGTTCTCGAAACACTGGCCAGAGCAATTAGACGAAAGAAATTAAAGGCATAAAAATAGGAAAGGAAGAACTTAAATTATCACTATTTGCAGATGACATGATTGTATACCTAGAAGACCCAAAAGGGTCTACAAAAAAACTACTAGAACTAATAAATGAATTCAGCAAAGTGGCAGGATATAAAATCAACACGCATAAATCAAAGGCATTTCTGTATATCAGCGACAAAACTTCTGAAACGGAAATGAGGAAAAACACTCCATTCACAATATCCTCAAAAAAAATAAAATACTTGGGAATCAACCTAACAAAAGAGGTGAAAGATTTATATAATGAAAACTACAAAACCCTAAAAAGAGAAGTAGAAGATCTTAGAAGATGGAAAAATATACCCTGTTCATGGATAGGCAGAACTAACATCATCAAAATGGCGATATTACCAAAAGTTCTCTATAGGTTTAATGCAATGCCAATCAAAATCCCAACGGCATTTCTTGTAGAAATGGATAAAGCAATCATGAAATTCATATGGAAAAATAAAAGACCCAGAATAGCAAAAGCAATTCTAAGCAGGAAGTGCGAATCAGGCGGTATAGCGATACCAGACTTAAAACTATATTACAGAGCAATAGTAACAAAAACAGCATGGTACTGGTACCAAAACAGGAGGGTGGACCAATGGTACAGAATAGAGGACACAGAGACTAATCCACAAAGCTACAACTATCTTATATTTGATAAAGGAGCTAAAAGCAGGCAATGGAGGGAGGATAGCATCTTCAACAAATGGTGTTGGGAAAACTGGAAATCCATATGCAACAAAATGAAACTGAATCCCCTCCTCTCGCCATGCACAAAAGTTAACTCAAAGTGGATCAAGGAGCTAGATATCAAATCAGAGACTCTGCGTCTGATAGAAGAAAAAGTTGGCTCCGATCTACATATTGTAGGGTCGGGCTCCAAATTCCTTAATAGGACACCCATAGCACAAAAGTTGATAACAAAAATCAACAAATGGGACTTACTTAAACTGAAAAGTTTTCTCTCAGCAAGAGAAACAATAAAAGAGGTAAATAGGGAGCCTACATCATGGGAACAAATTTTTACTCCTCACACTTCAGATAGAGCCCTAATATCCAGAGTATACAAAGAACTCAAAAAATTAAACAATAAGAAAACAAATAACCCAATCAACAAATGGGCCAAAGACCTGAACAGACACTTCTCAGAGGAGGACATACAATCAATCAACAAGTACATGAAAAAATGCTCACCATCTCTAGCAGTCAGAGAAATGCAAATCAAAACCACCCTAAGATACCATCTCACTCCAGTAAGATTGGCAGCCATTATGAAGTCAAACAACAACAAGTGCTGGAGAGGATGTGGGGAAAAGGGTACTCTTGTACATTGCTGGTGGGACTGCAAACTGGTGCGGCCAATCTGGAAAACAGTATGGAGACTCCTGGGAAAGCTGGGAATGGAGCCACCATTTGACCCAGCTATTGCCCTTCTTGGACTTTTCCCTGAAGACCTTAAAAGAGCGTACTACAGGGATACTGCTACATCGATGTTCATAGCAGCACAATTCACAATTGCTAGACTGTGGAACCAACCCAGATGCCCTTCAATAGATGAATGGATAAAAAAAATGTGGCATTTATACACCATGGAGTATTACGCAGCACTAAAAAATGACAAAATCATAGAATTTGCAGGGAAATGGATGGCACTAGAGCAGATTATGCTTAGTGAAGCTAGCCAATCCCTAAAAAACAAATACCAAATGTCTTCTTTGATATAATGAGAGCAACTAAGAACAGAGCAGGGAGGAAGAGCAGGAAGAAAAGATTAACATTAAACAGATACATGAGGTGGGATGGAAAGGGAGAGAAAAGGGAAATTGCATGGTAATGGAGGGAGACCCTCATTGTTATACAAAATTACATATAAGAGGTTGTGAGGGGAATGGGAAAATAAACAAGGAGAGATATGAATTACAGTGGATGGGGTAGAGAGAGAAGATGGGAGGGGAGGGAGGGGGGATGGTAGAGGATAGGAAAGGTAGCAGAATACAACAGTTACTAATAGGGCATTATGTAAAAATGTGGATGTGTAACCGATGTGATTCTGCAATCTGTATTTGGGGTAAAATTGGGAGTTCATAACCAACTTGAATCTAATGTATGAAATATGATATGTCAAGAGCTTTATAATGTTTTGAACAACCAATAAAAAAATTAAAAAAAAAAAAAAACTGTGTGCCTAGAAAACCCCAGGAAAGCTTTTCTATTAAACAGAATTTCTAACTACAAACCCACCAGAGCCCACCAATCTCTAGCTGTCCTCTCAGACCTCCTCAGTCACCTCCTCTGGGCCCTGGACCCTGGATCTCCCTAGCCCAGACTCTGCCCCCTGTCAGCTGTCCCACTCACTACCAGGTCTGCACTTGCCCTGTGTGGTCTTACCAATGGCCTTCAGCACCTCTTCCTTCGCCTGCTGTTCTTCCTCCTTAAGCCACAGCAGATGCTCCTTTTCCTTCCTCACCTGCATCCTTGTTGAATGTTCTTTGGTGAAAAAATAGCTAGCTCCCAAGAGTAGGAGCCACAGCATGATCATGATCACAGCAAATGCTGACCTCCAGGGAGAAGCCTGAGGGAAGAAGGGCTCTGTGGCCCAGGCAGACAGCAGGTCAGGGGCACACCCAGGAGACCAGCACACTCAGAGAGGCCAGCCCCTCCCCAGAGCTCTGTTGGGAGTGGAAGCAGCACTGACCTGGGATGTAAATAGCCATGGCCTTCTCCTGGCCCAGGACAGGGTTGAGGACTGAGCAGGTCACATTCCCCACAAAACTGTCTCTCACCACCAGAGTGGCCTCCACACTAAACAGCTCCTCAGTGTCTTGGGTGTGGGCCTCAGAAAGTGCTGGGAACTTGTTTCCACTGAGGTCTCTCCACTGCACCTGGGGCTTTGGGAACCATCCTGAGGCTTTGCACACCATGCGCACTCCATCCTCTTCTGGCCCTTCTATGTGCACTTGAGGGTCAGAGCCCATCCCTGGAAGGAAGGAAGGAAGCTGTGGAGCCCCAGGAGGCCGCCTTGACCCCAGAGTTGCCTAGATATCAGGGAGAAGGTTTCATGTTAAATTCTGGGAGTTCTATAGGAAAAGGGAATAAAAGGAAGGAGCACAGGGACCTACACAGGGCAGTGGGCTCATCTCCCCAAACATGAGGCCCAACCATGAGGAAGAATTTGGTCCCAGGGCTCCCTCCTTGAATCTCTAGTTTTCTCACTTCACAGACTCTCCTGGGACCTCTGCCTCTCTGTGTATATCACATCCAAAATTATATTGAGTGACCACCTTTTTTCCTGAATTCTCTTCCCCTACACCCATGTTCCCATGAGTTATCTTTACCAGATTTCCTCACATACTCTTGAAACTCAAAACTCCAAACTGAATTCATAAAGTTGCACCACTTGTGATAAAATGATTATTAATATGTCCCCAATTCTTCACCCTTATTTATAGCTATTTCTCTCACTTCCACAGACTTTTTACTACCTTTACCTTCTGCCTCTGGACCCAGTCATGGAATTTAATTTAGCCAATGAGAAATTAGCTAATGGGACTAGTGCAGAAGTTTGAAAAGCACTGGTGCCTTGGTTTTACCCTCTGCCATTTCCACAGGAAGATAATCATGGGCTACCCACTGGAGGATGGATTCATGTAACATTTCCTGGTCAACCTACTATAGCTGCCCTAGGTCAGCCACATGACCACCTGAAATGTGAGCACACCCAACCAAGGTGCACCTGGTGAACTTTTCAGCTGACTTAAAAACAAATAAAAATTACAAGTAAAAAGCTTAATTATCCCTGTTGAATAAAAGAAGAGTCTATTCCCTTTTCTTATGCCATTTGCTTTAGGAAACTGCAATTATAAATAGTTATTTTCTCCTCCTTTGAAATGCTTATATATGATTTTGAAAACTGGTTAGGTTTTTTACCAGCTTTGTGGCTCAGAAATGCCTTTCTCAAGGACCTGGGAACCATTTCTTTGAAATGCAAACATGAGGGAAGATAGCAACTCTTTGCCTCCTTTTCTGTGGAAATATAGGAGCCTAACTTATGTGGGCATCTTGCTCCAAGTTGTAAAACTACTTCCTGTCCTAAAGCTGGAGGAGTTTATTTTGCTTCCAGATAAAGACACAGATGGTCTCCCAAACTACTAGGTAAATTTAGGATGAGTTATGTGGAACAAATACTGCTTTCAGCCCTCTTAGTTTAGGATTAGTTCTTCTTCAATTTCAAAACAAGTATACAGGAGATTATATATGCTTGGCTCTAAAAAGAAAGAAGAAATTCCTTTCTAGTTCTGTAATACATTTGAGTATCACCATAATATGTATCACTCTCTGATTTCATGCTTATACAGTAATAAAAGTGTTTTCTTGATTGAGGGATATTTTGCTTTTAATTATGTTTCTGAAACTGAACAAAAATGTAGGAGCAAACCCAGGTAATATTAGCCAAGTTCAGCCCCCATTAGTTGAAATCCCTTAGTGCCTGAATTAAATACATTTTTATTGCCAGATGTACCTGAGATTGTGGCTGTCTGTTACACAGCAGAATTATAGCAGTACAACTGACACACAATTATCAAGTGTCCTGTCAGGAAACAAAAAATGGTTAAAATAAAACCCTGGAAGTCTCTGAACTCTTCTCCCCTTCCAAACTCCATGCCCACAAATCTACTCAGTTGACTCTAGTTTCTAAACCTGTCTGACCCCTCCTCTCCCACCCCACTGCCATGCCTCAGGTGAGTCACTCATTCTCTCCACATCATAACTGCACTCCAGGCCTCCTTCTTGCTCACCTCCCATCCATCCATTCAGAGCTACCAATGAGCATTCCCAGCATGGCTCTGTTTAGGATTCCCACTACTCTGCATCCAAACTCCATAACACAGCACACAAAACCTTTACTGATCTGGTATCTGCCTTTCTCTCCAAGAGTTCTTCCCAAACTCTACCATCTGAGAACCTCAGGCCCACACACTCAACCCCAAGAACTATCTGCTCAAATGCAAGTAGCCACCATCACCATGTTGTAGTACCTCTGCCTTTTCACCTTCCAGCCCATAAACATCCAGGGCTCTTATGCCAGCTCAGGTGTCCACTCCTAATGACGTCATCCTGACACCTGAGAGTGGTGTTAATACAGGACCATCTCTTTATTCTAGTGTTGCCACTTCTTACCATCCTCTTCCTCACTCCTTCTACGAACCATGATGGCCTCATTATACCCAGAATAATCAACCATACTCCTACTTCAAAGGTTTCATACCAGGTGCTCCCTCAGCATTAAACTCTAGCCCCCTAGATATCCACCTTGCTAAATACCTACTTCCTTTGAGCCTTGCTCAGACTTTGAAGAACCTGGGCCTGTAGAGAAGCACCAAGAATCTTCTGGAGAAGTGAGCTCTGCTTTAAAACAAAGAGAACAGGGTTTCAAGGATCTACACCGATGGGTTTGGATGTAATAAATGTAGCCAAAAAAAGTTTTTCTTCTGTAAAATCAAACATGTCCCCTACAACAAAACTAAAAAGCCCAGAAAAACATTTTGCAACCTTGATCAGTATAACTTTCCAAGAGAAACTCATTGCAAGATGTATACCTAAGTAACTTATAAATCAGAGCAATGATAACAAATCTTTACCAATAGTGAGGATGTTAAGCACTCTCTCTGGGATTGGGCAGCTGGTCCACTTGTTAGAAAGATTACTTCTATTTTGTATGGGTAAAATCATGTTATCTGCATACCATCCTTTCTGTTTCAAAGGAAGCATTCTGTAGCTCATTCAAAAATTTCCTCCATTTTCCCCATGCCTCCCCCCTCCCAGTTTTGGATTAGCATGCAGTTATCAGAAAGAACATTCGGCCTTTGGATTTTTGAGAATGGCTTACTTCACTTAGCATGATATTCTCCAACTCCATCCATTTACCTCAAATGTCATGATTTTATTCTCTTTTAATGATGAGTAATATTCCATTGTGTGTATATATACCACAGTTTATTCATCCATTCATCCATTGAAGGGCATCTAGGTTTCTTCCAAAGTTTAGTTTTATAAATTGAGCTGCTAATGAACATTGATATGGCTGTGTCACTGTAGTATGCTGATTTTAAGTCCTTTGGGTATAGACTGAGAAGTGGCATAGCTGGGTCAAATGGTGGTTCCATTCCAAGTTTTCTAAGGAATATCCACACTGTTTTCCACTGTGATTGCATCAAATTTGCAGTCCCACCAGCAATAAATGAGTGTACCTTTTCCCCCACATGCTCATCAACATTTATTGTTGTCTGTATACTTGACAAATGTCACTCTGACTGGTGTGAAATGAAATCTTAGAGTAGTTTTGATTTCCATTTCTCTAATTAATACAGATATTGAACTTTTTTTTCACATATTTGTTCATTGAAGGTCTATCTTCTTCTAAGAAGTGTCTGTTAAGCTCCAGCCAATTTATTGATTTTGTTGTTTATTTTTTATATTAAGTTTTTTGAGTCCTTTATGTATCCTGGAAATTAGTGTTCTATCTGACATGTGTGTGACAATAATTTGCTCCTAAATTGTAAACTCTTTGTTCACCTCATTGTTTCTTTTTCTGATAAGAAGGTTTTTTGTTTGAGTTCATCTCATTTATTAATTCTTGATTTTATTTCTTGCACTCTAGGACTCTTTTTAAGGAAGTCAGAGCATAATCCAACCTGATTAAGCCTTGGCCTACTTTTTCCTCTGTTGGGTGCAGGGTTACTGGACTAATTCCTAGGTCCTTGATCCACTTTGAGTTTTGTGCATGGTGAAAGATAGGAGTTTATTTTCATTTTGCTGCATATGGATTTCCAGTTGCTGTTTCTACTTCTATAAGAAATTATGTTGGGATTTTAATTGGAGTTGCATTGAATCTGTATAGCTCTTTGGGAAGTATGGCCATTTTGACAATATTAATATTGCCTATCCAAGAGCATAGGAGATCTGTCCATCCTCTAAGGTCTTCTTCAATTTCTTTCTTTAGTGTTCTGTAGTTTTCATTGTAGAGATCTTTCACCTTTTGTTAAGTTAAATCCCAAGCATATATATTTTGAGGCTATTGTGAATTGGGTAGTTTTCCTAATTTCTCTGTCAGGATTCATCACTGATATAGAGAAATACATTTGTTTTATGGGTATTGATTTTATATCATCCTGCTACTTGGTTGAACTAATTAATTAATTCTACAAGTTTTCTGGTGGAGTTTTTGGATCCTCTAAGTATAAAATCATGTCACCAACAAATAATAATTGAGTTCTTCTTTTTCTATTTGTATCCTTTTAATTCCTTTCATCTGTCTAATTGCTCTGGGCAGAGTTCAAGGACTATATTGAATAGAAGTGGGCATCTCTGTCTTGTGCCAGTTTTTAGAGGGAATGCTTCCAACTTGTTGCCATTTATAATGATGTTGGCCTTGGGTTTAGCATACATAGCTTTTACAATGTTAAGGTATGTTCCTACTATTCCTAGTTTTTATAGTGTTTTGAACATGAAAGGATGCTGTATTTTGTCAAATGTTTTCTCAGCATCAATTGATATAATCATAAGATTCTTATCTTTAAGTGCATTGATGTGATGAATTATATTTATTGATTTCCGTATGTTGAAACAACTTTGTCTGGAATAAACCCGACTTGATCATGGTGCACTACTTTTTAAATATATTTTTGTATGTAATTTGCCAAAATTTTATTAAATTTTTTAAATACTTTTTATTGTTGATGGACACAATACCTTTATTTTTTATTTGTTTATTTTTTTGTGGTGCCAGGGGTCAAACCCAGTACATCACACATGCTAGGCAAGTGCTCTATCACTGAATCACAACCCCGGCCCCATTATTGAGAATTATTGTACCCGTGTTCTTCAGGGATATTGATCTGAAGCTTTCTTTCCTTGATGTGTCTCTGCCTGGTTTTTGGTATCAGGATGATACCACCTTCGTAGAATGAGTTACAACAG